TCGGGGCTAGCGGCGGGGCGGTCCCCCGGAGAGACAGGCACCCCGGCCCCATGGCACCCCGACCCCGCTGGCTGCAGAGCCGGGCTGGTGGCTCCCAGGGATCACCTCTTGCTGCCTTCTCGGCAGAGAAAGGACTAGGTGAAGAAATGGCTCTAAAAAAAAAAAAAACCAACAACTCTGCAGTGATTTCAGATCTCAGCAAGCAGGGGAAAGAAAACAAAAGCATTCGTTTTTCTCCTGTTTGTGTGCTCGGGAGATTAGATGACAGCCAGGGATTTTCTAAGCAACTTCCTCGGATAGCCACAGCAGGTACGGTGGAGATAAGAGCAACACAGTGCCCTCCTCTCTGCCCTCCTTGTCCCCAGCCCCTTCCTCAGCCATCTTCCCTCACCAGGCAGGGCAGCCCCCTCAGTGCCTTGCAGGACGCTGCGGGTGCTCTCAGGTGCTGAAGGTTTTGACTTTTCCAGGAGCCCAGATCCAGGGCCTGAATCTTTGGGGGGCTGGAGCCTCTTCACACCAATCCATCTGGGCAGGTCTCCTCTGCAAGCAGAGCAACCCTCTCCAAATTTTGCTTCGGGGGGGGGGGGGGGGGGGGGAGGGGCACACCAGTGACAAGCTACCTCAACAAGGCAGGGGTCAATACAACTGGGTTTAACTGGCTGAGAGAAGAGTCAACTGGTTTGGCCTTGAAGACATGGAGCTTTTACCCTTTGCTGTACTTAGACACACAGACTCCGTCAGGCTTGGGGTCTACAGTTTTGATGGGCCACCGAAATCTTCGCTGCAGTTGCTCTTCTGAACTGATACGCTGAACCCTGCACACACTGGAGAGGGGACAAAATTATTACACAGCGCTCAAGCCCGGGCCACAGCAGTCTGCTTGCCTTCATCAGCCCCAAGGCAGTAGCGCCCGGCCTCCGCTCACACCACTCACCCGAGTAATCTCAGTATCACCAGACCCGAGTTCAAAAAAATGATGTGCGCAGGCAAGAAAAAGAATAATACAGATGAGATTGGTTTAAAAACCACAAGGTTGAAATAAAATATTAGCCATGTTATTTTTATTTGTTTGCCGGGTTTTTCAGCACTCAGAAGTTGTTTTCCAAATCCTCTCAGCAACCACAAGTTCTAGCAATTCACTTACAGCAAATTAAAGCTGACATTCTCATGTCTGCAGGAGCTGAGACTTTTTTTCGAAGTTGCAAATCCATGATAAAACTGCGTCAGCTGACAAAGCAGGGCCTATTCATCTGCTTTATTTGCAGGATTTCATCTTCATTTCTCCAGGCTTTCCTGTGTTTGACTTCCATAGCCACCAGCAAGGAAGTGCCATTTCGGACTTCTCTCCACTTTCTCTGCCAGGTGTGGGACACTTGGCTCGTTTTGTTGTTCTACACAAGAGAGTCGTTGTAGGCTAAGAAAGTGATCTGCAAAATATGTCCGGGGGCTCCATGAAGATGCCCAGGGCTCACCCTGCTGATGGGGGCAGGCCTCCTGGTAACCTGCTGCATGTCCCACCGGTGACTCCTTAGATCAGGAGTTCCCAGTCTCTGTTCCCTGGGAGTCACCGCTTGTCTCCCGAGTCCACAAAAGAAAAGCAAACCCCTTGGATTACGACATTGTACCAGAGTAGAAACACATAGCAGGAAAGAAAAATAATAATGGAGTCTAAATATTGGAAAAGACTGCATGCCTCGCAGGTAAACAGCCAGGAACGTGACTGCAGTGGAAAAGAGCACTGATTTATCCACGGCCTTTGGAAAAGAAGAAACAAGTTACTGTAGGACAAGAACCTTCTGGGTTTTTTTGTTGTTTATACCACCCCTAGCACAAGAGCCTGAGACTAACCCCCTGGATGCTGCACAAGTATACTGAAAACGAGTAATTAAAGGGGGGGGGG